GATTTCACCTGAACCACCTGTCTGCTCAGCCTTTGATTATCCCAGCAATCATTATCTTATTATTAAACCCTTAGAATCAGAGGGACAGAGACCGTCAGCCACAAACCGATCAATAAATCTGATTTTTATTCAAGTCTGTACAAACAAACAACATTTACACAAGACCGTAACCACTTTAATGATCTTTACAACATCTTATCTCCATCAGTAATCTGTAATTTAGCACAAACAAAAGGGGCTGAGCTTCAGATTCATCATCCAATCACAGTCAGTGGGCGGGGCTTCATTTATTTGTATCTTTAATCAGATCATCAGAAACTCTCCTCTGAAAGGTCGATGAGCTAATCTGTGAACACACATGGTCAATATTAGCTTAGCGTAGTGTTTGTATATGTGTGTGTGTGTGTGTGTTTGTGTGTGTATGTGTGTGTGTGTGTGTGTGTGTGTGTGTGTGTGTGTGTGTGTGTGTGTGTGTGTGTGTGTGTGTGTGTGTGTGTGTGTGTGTGTGTGTGTGTGTGCTAGAGCTTTATGTCTCAGAAACAATTACAGATGTCAGGTAAAACAAACACACACACACACACACTCCTCACAGGAGACAAAGGAGGCAATATGGCTGATAAACTGTGTGTGTTTGTGCATTTGTACGTGTTAGGGTGTGTGCGCGTGTGTGCGTGTGCGCGTGTGCGCGTGTGTTTATTGATGACTCAGGACGGGTAGAAACACACACAGTGAATATATAGTTGTCATTATCTCACTAATGGCTGTTTGTCTGAACACAACACAAAACAATTCGAACACACACACACACACAAACACGCACACACACACACAAACAGTAAATGGGCTGTACATGAGTGTAGGACTGCAGTATGCTGTTAGAAAGAACTAGACACACTGCTTCATATAAATATATATACAATATTTAATGTTGTTGATGTTATCCATGTTGTTGTTGCTGTTGTTGTTTACAGTATGTGACTGTAGCTAGTTAATCATGTGATGAGTCTATTAAACATAAGCAGATGATCTTTACTTTTCTGTCTTCATGAACCATGACATCAGAGACCTCTCTAAATGATCACATGACGCTGGTTATCAACTCAATAAATTCACCCAGATTCTCTAAGCGGGTTCACATAAAAAGGGGCGGAGTTAGCAGACAGCTGTCAGCAGGTTGTCGCGAATCAGAAAAAACTCTGATATAAGAATAACTCCAAAGAAGTTAGAGACTAAAAATCACAAAGCTGCAGTGATGAATGCAAGGAAAAGAAAAACATCAGAGTGTGAGTGTGAGTGTGCAGATTAGGGATCATAATGAGCTCTAACTTTATCATCATTAGAGCACAATAACTCTGGATCTAATTGTAACGAGCTGCCCTGTTGTCCCTCTGCCTGGAGGAGGAGGGGGAGGGGGATTTAAAGGAGCAGGTAGAGGAGGGATGATTTCTGTTTCTCCATCTTACTTTGTTCTACTTTTCCCCAACCAGGTAGTGTTGTAAAGGCTGAATGTTGTCCCCCGTCTGTCCCTGCAGGGGGCGCTGGAGTCCCATCGATGGCGGTCTCCATGCTGGAAATGCTGTCTCAGTCTAACTTTCAGTCAACCTAACGACAGGCTGAGAGCTGGAGCTGAGGCGGGTTTTAAACCTCCTGACAAACCGTTACACCGCGCCCACCTGTCAATCAGGTCAGCTACACGCCTTATTGTGAATAACTCTTATCCTTCATCAAATCAAAACTGATGAGTCATCAAAACATTCACCCCCCGTACAGTGTGTGTCCATCCAGACATGAGCTAATCACACCTATTTGGTTTTTTGAACCAGGCTGTAAACATGTTCATCTCTGCTGTAAAAACAGGCTTTTTAGAATGGGTGTGTATGTGACTTCCTGTGCTTCTGCAGCCAGCCTCTAGTGGACACTCCAGGAACTGCAGGATTTTACACTTAAGGATGGGGCATACCGCTTGAGCTAGACACAATGCAGTCCATTGATTGGTCAAAAGAATCAGTCACTTCCCGTACTCCAGAGCAGGCTGGTGTTCAGTGTGAGTCACCATTGTGATGTTTAGGTACAAAGTGATCCCTGAAGTTACCATGGTAACAGAAAATCCTGATCTTTAAACATATTTAATAGATGTTAATAAAAAGATTAATGTTGAACTGTGTGTTCCTCCCTCCCTCTCTCTCTCTCTCTCTCTCTCTCTTTAATCATCCTGAGCCGCTCTCACCTGATTGGTTGATGTCACAAACACTCACTCACAGGTTCAGGTGCTGCTTAATGATCAGCTGACTCTGTGTGGTCAGGTGTGTCTGCGATGGTAATGAGAGGAGCTGAGCTCTCCTCCAATCAGAACAGTTCAATCACACCTGAGAAGGTAATCAGATTACTTTGATTGGTTCTGGGGACTTTAAACTACTTTTACTTTTTGAAAAACTGAATGCATATTTTATTCTGAACGCACACACACACACACACACACACACACACACACACACACACACACACACACACACACACACACACACACACACACACACACAGACAGACTGAGCGGGGAGGCGGCTCTTTGATCTCAAAGTGGCTCCATTTACCGGAGACTTAATCGGTTTGTACCGGAGACACACACACACACACACACACACACACACACACACACACACACACACACACACACACACATACAGAGAGAGAGAGAGGGAGAGACTGAGAGAGAGATTCCGTGACCGGATCGTGGTTCTGCTGCACGCTGATTTTTCTCTTGAAGGCGTCTCATCGACACGTTCTCGGTCTGGACCTGGACTCTTCACCTGTCTGTCTGTCTGTCTACCTGTCTGTCTTTCGTTTAAACATCTGCATGGCTGACTGTCCTGGTGTGTGTCGGTATTCCCACGGCTGTCTCTCCCGGTGCGTCGGGACTCTCCGCTCTACTGGATGGATGTGATCTGCGGACCTGAGTGAAGCCCCGTGAGCCGCAGCTGGAGGACGTGACCGGGGCGGAGAGGCTCTGCCCGGCCGGGCTGAGGAGCTCTGAACCGGGGCAGAAGCGGGAGAGGCTCCGCGGGTCGGTAGGTGACACAAAGATCCCGTTAAAAAGCCGTGAGGATGAGTGAGCTGCACACACTCTGACAGATGTTTGAGTACAGGTAGTTACTGTAACTGTAGTACTAGTTAGTATCTGTACTGCATGTCTATAAAGTGATTGTCTCTGTCGTATTCTCACACACACATCAGTTTATTAAAGTTATTATTGATGAATAAAAGACACACGAACATGTTTTTATTTCACAGTTCTTCAGTCAGACACAGGACTGGATTCTAACAGACCAACAAAACCCGCTGGAGCACAGGGCCACTGTGATGTGTTTATAATCTCAGGTCATAGATTTACTTAATTAAACTCTGATATACTTTATAACACGTGCTCATCATGGTATTCAATTCTTTAGGGTCAGATCAAACATGCAATCATTTTAAACACAACTCTGACCTGCTGTTTCTTTAATGTAATTAATAAGTCAATTTCAATTTTGTTGTAAATGATGTTTTTAACAATATAAAAGAAAAAAAGGTAAAGATGTGACTGATTAAAAACGCTGATTTGGGGTCACAGATGGCGTAGCGGTTAGGTTTTGACCCATGTATGGGAGCTTTAGTTCTCCTAGCGTTTGGCCCAGGTTCGAGTCGGACCTGTGGCTCTTTTCCCGCATGACATCATGTCCCACTCTTTCTCACTGGTGTCCTTCTCAATCCCTTGTCATATTAAATAAATGGCAAAAAGCCTGGAAATAGAAAAAAAAAAATTGGCAGACTAATTGGTTTACAAATGATCTGTCAGCTGTTGAGTGACCTTTAGTTTAAGCCACGCCCACTTCTGGTCTAATACAGACTCGGAGTCTGAGAGAGGTTTTTAACACATCTGACACACACAGACACACACGCACACACACACACACACACACACATGAAAACACACCTGACAGTCTGACACACACCTGACTGACTGACACACACCTGACCGACTGAGACACACCTGACATACACCTGACAGACTGACACACACCTGACAGACTGACACACACCTGACAGTCTGACACACACCTGACCGACTGAGACACACCTGACAGACTGATACACACCTGACATACACCTGACAGACTGACACACACCTGACAGACTGACACACACCTGACCGACTGACACACACCTGACAGACTGATACACACCTGACATACACCTGACAGTCTGACACACACCTGACTGACTGACACACATCTGACACACACCTGACAGTCTGACATACACCTGACCGACTGACACACACCTGACCGACTGACACACACCTGACTGACTGACACACATACCTGACCGACTGACACACACCTGACAGACTGACACACACCTGACACACACCTGACAGTCTGACAAACACCTGACAGTCTGACATACACCTGACCGACTGACACACACACCTGACCGACTGACACACACACCTGACCGACTGACACACATTGGATACACACCTGAAACACACCTGAATCATGAACAGATTACCTGCATACTTTTTTTTTGATCGTTTTAATGTCCTACTGAATATTGTCTTTGATTTAAAAAAATATTTCCGCTGAATTTAAAAACTTGTTTTTTGCGCTCATACAGGCAGCAAGGTTCAAGCTCAATAACAGTAGCGGTAGCTCGCCATGGCACTTCATGCAGTGCATGCTGGGAGTTAACATGAATTTGTTCTTAAATGGGTTATAATCTGTTCATTGTTAATCTGTTTATTGTTCTGATTGGTTCATCAGGCTGTGATGTCACCATGATGCTGCCGGTCTCAAGGTTCAAAGGTCAGCCAGTTGGCATGGTAACCAACACAATGCCTTGGATGTCCATCAGCAGTGAACCCGCTCCTCCCTGGATTTGGTTGGCCAGCTGGTCAGCTGCAACATACCAGGCCACGCCCCCTCTGGTCTTCTACCCTCCAGCCGTGTGGATACCTGAACACACACACCTGATCCAGGTGACACACACACACACAAATATAAACAAATATTGTTTGGATGCTAGAATTTTAACGTAAGTAAGTAACAAAAGATGTGAGTAAGGTAAGACATAAGTAATATAAGATACATTTTTATACATAAAATGTATGAAACGTAAGACGTAGGTAACCTAAGATGAAGGTAATGTAAGACGTAAGTAACATAAGAAGTTACATATGACGTAAGTAACATAAGACGCAAACATAGGTAACGCAAGGTTGTAAGTTACATAAGATGTAAGTAATGTAACGTAATGTAAGCCGTAAGTAACATATGTAAGTTACATAAGACGTAACGTAACGTCATAATTTATATAAGACGTAACGTAAGTCGTACGTAACATAAGACGTAAGTAATATAAGACGTAAGTAACGTAAGACGTAAGTTACATAAGACGTAAGTAACATAAGACGTAAGTAACATAAGACGTAAGTAACATAAGACGTAAGTTACATAAGACGTAAGTTACATAAGACGTAAGAAACGTAAGTTGTAAGTAACGTAAGTCATAAGTAACATAACTCGTAAGTAATGTAAGTAACGTAAGACGTAAGTTACATAAGACGTAACTTAAGTCGTAAGTAATATAAGACGTAATTTACATAAGACGTAAGTAACCTAAGACGTAAGTTACATAAGACGTAAGTTACATAAGACGTAAGAAACGTAAGTTGTAAGTAACGTAAGTCATAAGTAACATAACTCGTAAGTAATGTAAGAAACATAAGACATAAGTAACGTAAGACGTAAGTAACATAAGACGTAAGAAACGTAAGTCGTAAGTAACGTAAGTCATAAGTAACATAACTCGTAAGTAATGTAAGAAACATAAGACATAAGTAACGTAAGACGTAAGTAACATAAGACGTAAGAAACGTAAGTCGTAAGTAACGTAACTCGTAAGAAACGTAAGACGTAAGTAACATAAGACGTAAGACGTAAGAAACGTAAGTTGTAAGTAACGCAAGTCATAAGAAACGTAACTTGTAAGTAATGTAAGAAACATAAGACATAAGTAACGTAAGACGTAAGTAACATAAGACGTAAGAAACGTAACTCGTAAGTAACGTAACTCGTAAGTAATGTAAGAAACGTAAGATGTAAGTAATGTAAGTAACGTAAGTAACGTGAGTAATGTAAGCCGTAAGTAACGTAAGTAACGTAATTCGTAAGTAACATAAGACCATACTCAGGTACCTTGCCCAGTGTCCACTTGATGAGGTCTCCGGCACGTTTCATGTGAACTCGAGTACAGTATGCGGGAGATGTGAACGCAACCGTGCTCAAACAAGGAAGTGAATATGACGTCATTCTAAACGACTCCTGGTGCTTGAAAATCCTCCGTATCCGCACAACACAGTCCTGTTTCATCCTCAGAGCTGAACGGAAAGATGTGGAAGTAGGAAGAGGGTCGTTGTTGGTGTCTCAGACATTACTAAATGATCCACGGTTAGCAGGATGGACGCCATGGATGCTTCTTCTTCTTTCTGTTGTTTGGCCAACTATGTGCATACTGCCACCTGCTGTATTGGACTGTGTGCAGGCGCAAGTGTACTCGGGCACAGAGCGATGTTGATAATGTGAAAACAGAACGGCGGGGGAGGAATAAAAACAGGCAGCGTACAAATCAATCGTGCCTAATGTGAAAACGCCTAAAGATAAACCACCAACTGTAGAACCTGAGAACACTCTTTGTTTGAAGTCGTTTTTCTTTATTTTATCCGATAAAACATGTTTATCTTCAGAGGGTTAAACAGATGTCTCACAGCCGGGCGTCGCGTCGTCGTGTTCAGTCGAGAGGTTCTTTAAAGTCTCTCAGCCTCGTGTGCAGATCAGATGAAACTTTAATGATCCCCGAGGACAAAGTGAATAATCGTCTGTTAATTATTGGTGGCGTGTTAATTATCTGCTGCAGCTCTTCTTTTAATTCTTCCTGCGTAAAACGACAGAGTTTAACATCTTCTCAGCCGGCTCGTCCTCTTCAAAGGGTTTTTTGTTCCAACAAAGAAACGTGTGATGTTCACAGGTACAGGATGACCTCACTCCTTCACCTGTCTGCTGTAGACAAGCTGTGTAGCAAGCTGGGTTTATAAAAACTGAGGCGGTGAATGTGTCCAAGGTTTCTGTTTCAGTTAATAACAAAAAACACATTTAATAGAATATTTTCTAAAGATGAGTTTCAGAGATGACCTTATCGTCTGTCGCTGTTTAAAAAGGACTTTCACATTTACTGAGGTCAGGGACAACGAGCGCTCTGATTGGCCATAATCTAAAGCTGCCCCATGTTCACCTGTCTCTCTCTCTCTCTCCCTCTGTGACTGTCTATGTGTCTGTCTGTAGCACATCTTCACTCTGCTGGTCTGAGCCTTTCGTGAACGTTCTCACCCGCAATGATGTCACAGTGTACTCTGGGTGTGGTTAGTACACTGTGACATCACAGGTGGGCGTGGTCACGTCAAACTGAAACTGTTTTTTTAATGTTTATTTTTGTTTGTTTCAGTGGGAGCGTCCAGCTGTTGAAGTGGTTCCTATAATCCCTCCATATCATCATTCTTCACATCTTCATCCTCCTCATCCTTTCCCTAAGGTACATAAACACACACACACACACACACACACACACACACACACACACACACACACACACACACACACACACACACACACACACACACACACACACACACACACACTAGCACGATACTAACATGCTAACACGTTTGCAGCTAGCTGAAAGCTGGATCTCTCCTGAGGAAGTGGGCGTGTTCCAGAGGAGAGACAAACCCCTCCTCCTTACAAATCAGATCATCCAGAGGCAAGGACACGCCCCTAGGACCCGCCTGCTGCTGTCTCCCACTCAACTCTCAGGTAAGAGATCACCTGACTCAGGTGTGTCAGACTGTTAGCTCAGCCCCCTCAGAAACCAGACAGACTGAAGGTAGAATAAGTTGATTTTAAACAGAAATGTTGATGCGTCAAATGTCCTGATTATGTGTACAACCTGTTTCAAAGCACACTGACCATATAAGGAGTGGGGTTTATAACAATGTCTCTTCTGATTGGCTGGGACCTCTGACACGCCCACCAGCCGAGAGAAAACTACCTCACAATCCTGTATGACATCATCAGGTTCAACCTGAAACAGGAGAAACAGTCACACAGATTTCAGACTGAACGGGCTGATCGATTCAAACCTGAGTCGTTTTAGTGATTCTGCATTCTGCTCTGTCATGTTGCCATGACAACAGTGGTTATGGCTGGAAGCTGATTGGTTGTGGGAATCCAGCTCAAAGACAGTGGATGTGTCTTTCTGCTGACACACACACACACACACACACACACACACACACACACACACACTGGCGTGCTCACAAAAAGCTGCTGTCAGATGTAATATGAAGATGATTGGTCAATTTGAAATCACCCAGTGGAGCATGATGGGAAAATTTTGCTGCTTCAGATGTGAGACTGCAGATGCTCCTTTATGTCTCCAAACATAACGACCTTATATGGACGTGAGGGGCGGCATCTGGCTGAAGAAAAACTTGTTTAACATTTCCTTTAACATTTTTAACTAACTCTGCCTAAGAAGAAGAAAACGACGATCTGATACAAGTTTTTAAAAAAAGTAAAAATTAATTTTATGGGATGTGGGTGGCTTATTGGTTAGTTCGTGCGCCCCATGAACAGAGCCTGTAGTCCTCCGAGGGGGCAGCCTGGGATCAAAACCGACCTGTGGCTCCTTTCCCACATTACATGATTCCCTCTCTCCCTGACTTCCTACCCTATCCACTCTCCAGTCTCTACAATAAAGACTTAAAAGCCCCCAAAAATAAATTCATAATGTTAAAAAGTTTCACATCATTCATGTATTACAGTTTAATCGCAGCACACTCTAGTGGACGTTAGAGGAATTGCACGGTTAAATATGATCCCCAATCTGCTAAAGCTCAAAGAAACGATAAATCATCAGGCTGCTGTTTGTTTGATTCGCTGCAGCCTGTAGGGGGCACCAACACTGACCTAGATAGAAAAACAGTTTAAAAAAAACAAACTGGATGATATGGGACAGTAAAACTTTATTTTCACTAACTTCTATACGTTGTGTGACGAGTTGACTGAGACTCTGACAAACAAATCCTCGAGTACTCGGCGATGTGGGTTCACCCCGACTGATTTCTGTCTGCTGGACTCAAACACATGGACTAGACTGGATTGGATTAGACTCGATTGTTTTTTGCTGTTTTTCAGTTTCACTTTGGCTGTGTCATTTTAATGCGCAGTATGTAAAATCCACCACCAGGGGGGTTCTCAATCAAAACAATAACAAAAGGTGACGTCGAGGCTGGCGGGGAATCATGGGAGTGATTCTCTCCGTTTTTATTACAACTCACGCTTCCTTAAGCAGCAGGCTTTGACGTAACATCCTGTGTTTCCACGGCAACGATAAACATTCCGTGTCTGTCATGGCGGCTCATCACGAGACACATCCCGTTACAACTATAAAATTACGTATTTCTCTGGCTTTGATAACTGTTGGAAACATCTGAGGTAACGTCAGTACTCAACAACAAAAAAATATAACATAGGTTTAGACAATTTTTAATTAATTTAGATATTTGAATGTAAAAAATTCTACATATTGTACCTTTAATGTGCATCTTTAATGAAAACAGGTCAGATTTAAACGCATTGTGTGAGCGCTGTGAGCTGCTTCAGTTTGTCAGATTACAGCAGGTGTTGATCTTCTCTCTTTAAAACAGATGCAGCCTCCTGGAAGCCGACAAACACAGATGAAATTAGCTTTTATTTGTAGTGATCGTGGGAGTGTGTTCGTGTCCAGAGTCAGTTAGTCTTCAGTTTGTAGTTTGTCAGGATGGATTTGTCTCAATGAAAGCACACAGTTACAGATGGAAACACTCTGCATGTGAAATGAAACCTGGATGGAGCATCACAAACAGCAGAGCAAACAAAAGCGACAGTTGCGGTGTCTCTGATGGTCTGTGCGCTTTTGGAAATGAAGAATGGATGTGCTGTTACATAAGCAGGAAGGAGCAGAGCGCAGCCACAGAGAAATGTCTTCAACTCTTTATTCTTTGAATTTAAGTTTAATCACAGACAAATAAAAGTCAGAGGCGTCGTCATGTTTTACACTCAGAATCAAGGGAGCTGAAACTCTCTCATGTTGTGATCAGAATAAAGTTTGACTTTACGGGAAAAATAGAATAAAAATCAAAGGCTGGAAAGACTCTAATTAGAGCCGACTCCCAGACGGCGTCGGGGGGGTTGTACGAGGTGAGATCAGAGAGTAGACCTTCATTCACTGTGAGGCTGAAGTCAGAGTCTGAATGAAGCTGGCTCTCTTAACCCCAGATACGTCACCATGGTAACTGTCTTTGAACCTCTAACCTGGACCCATCAATATCGTAATGGACTCTTAACCCTCTAACCTGTATCACCATGGTAACTGACTGTAACCCTCTAACCTGTATACATCACCACGGTAACTGATTCTAAACCTCTATACCTGGACACACCATGTCACCTGTGTCCAACCCTCTAATTTGGATACATCACCATAGCAACTGTCTCTTAATCTCTAAACCTGGACAAATTGTCATAGTTACCAACTCTAAACCCTGAAACATAGATACATCACCATGGTAACTGAAACTAAACCCCTTACCTGGACATGCCATGGCACCTGTCTCCAACAGGTGCCATGGCACCTGTTGGAGACAGGTTACCTGGATACATCGCCATGGTAACTGACTTTAAACCTCCATGCTGGATTAATCACAATGGTAACTGTCTCTGAACCTCTAACCTGGACCTGTTAAAACCGTAACGGACTGTTAATCTCTAACCTGGAACCATGACCATGGTAACTGTCTCTAAAATTTTGACATGGATTAATCACCATGGTAACTGAAACTAAACCCCTTACCTGGACACGCCATGGTATATCCATCACCAACCCTCTAAACTGGATACATTGCCATGGTAACTCTCTCATTACCTCTAACCAGGATATATCACCATGGTAACTGTCTCTAAACCTCTTAACTGGATACATCACCATGGTAACTGAATCTTAAGCTCTAACCTGGATACATCACCATATTAACTGACTCTAAACCTGTTAACCTGTACCTATCACCATGGTTACTGTATCTAAACCTTAAACCTGGATAAATCACCATGGTAACTGGAACTGAACCCCTTACTTGGACACACCATGGCACCTGTCTCCAACCTCCTTAACTTGATGCATCACCATGGTTACTCTGTCTAAACCTCTAACCCAGATACATTACCATGGTAACTGACTTTAAACCCCCCCTCTATGCTGGATACGTCACCATGGTAACTGAAACTAAACCTCTTACCTGGAAACATCAGCATATACTGCGCACTGCGATTATTATGTGTTTTCCGATCTTGTTTTTTGTTTTGTTTTGTTCCCTGATGTTTTGGGGTTTTTTTAAACACCAAGAGAGCATCTTACCGTGTTTAACATCTTCACAAAGATGTTTTATTGTTTCTGTGATGCTGCTGCTGTCAACAGATTTAGGTCAACATTTCATGAAAGAAGCTCAAACATGTGGAGGCGGCCTGATCCACCAACACAGACACGCAAACACACATACACACACACACACACACACACACACATATCTGCATGAAATAGTAAACCATGTTGAATATGAATAAATGTAGAGAACAGCTGACCTGGGCTGTTTTCTTCGTCACAAGCAAACAAACATTTTATTTCAAGACGTTTCTACTTGTGTGATACTCGATCTTTTCAGTCGAGTCTCTTTGTTTGAACATGACCTGTGAAGTTTGTAGTTTTGTTTCAGCTGTGGAGCCTGTGTCCATCTGTGAGTGACAGTTTGATGGAATCTGACAAGTCACACTAAAGTCGGCTGAAATCTGTCTGCCGATAGCGAAATGAACCCAATGAGCCAGTATGTCCTCCTTCTAACTTTAGATTCTGCTCCTGAATGCTCTGGATTTGTTTGGACCAGAGAAGGTAGGAGGTTTTAAGGCGACCCCCCCCCCACACGGCCGTTTTGGACGCCCCTCTGTTTGCCAGATATGAGAGCAGTTATCAGGTCAACAGGTGTTGCAGCGATGGAAGCGGGCAAGAGAAGTGGTTCAGATAGAAGTGATTGTACCCGACCTAAAAAGCCTCTGCATGTTTCTAATAAGCTCCACGAGCAGAAACGTGCTCAAACTAGGATCAATATTGGAGATGCTTTTGAAAAATGGAGAGAGGTTAGAACACAGAAAGGTTTACAGACCCATGCAGAGCTGGATAAACACTGAAGCTTCAGAGTCCACCACATGGTGACCTGAGTGAGCATCCACTCCAGAGAGGAGGGGGGGGGGGGAGACAGCTCTCTATGATGTTTAGAATTTAGACTGCAGTACCCATTTTAACCACTAGGTCAGAGTTACATACTGCTCCTTTAAATGATGATTTCCCGTCATTGCTTTGTCCACTGTCCGGTTAATCAGTCCTTCATTTCGTTAGTTATCAGGTAGAATGAGATGCTGTGGTCATTTTTTAAAGATCCAAACTCACTTGTTTCTGTTTTCAGGTCGAGTTCGAAGAGACAAAACAAAGACAGCAGGAACCAAACCAAAAAGCTCCTCCACCTCCTCTTCCTCCTCATCTTCCTCCTCCTCCTCCATACCTCTGCACCTCCTCTCTGTGGGTCCTCTCCAGCTGCCTCTTCGCATTGCTCCTCCTCCTCCCTCAGGTGAGTCAGGTTTTCTCTACTCATCAACAAGTTCAGATCAACAATAAAGATCAGCTGCAGGACAGAAAAGACAAAATACATAAAAAAATAACGACCAATGTCAAAGCAAATAAGGAGTAACTCACTCCTTTGTGCCGTTACCATCAGCTGCAACATCATACAGTCTTTGCAACACACGTATACCGATTAGCAAGTTAAGCTAGGTTATTAGCCATGAACAACGACTCAAGAAGCAGCAGCAATGACACTTATGTGACAGAAATGTCGTCCGAGGTCGAGGAGTTTTCTCCTCAAGGCCTCGACCGCGGCGGTCCAGAGCCGTATCAGTTTGAACAGTAAGCACAGAGAGAGGGAGAGATGAGAATAAGATGGAATTAATACGAATCAACTGCTCGTCAGTTCTGTTGTTTATTTTCAATCTTTCTTAATTTAAATCCAGCTGCTCTGATTTCATGCCGCTGAGGATCCACGGCTGCAGCTTCTGTTTGAATCCTGCAGCAGCGAGACAAATCTGCAGCTCAGCGTGTAATTACTGAAAATAAACCGACAAACAGCAGCACAAACACACTGGATGTAGAACTGCAGCAGGGAGCCTGAAACACCACAGAAGAAGAAGAAATCACACACACAAACGATCAGAGACGTCCGGACATCAAAGTCATCGTCTGGACGAAAGTGACCCTCGGATTGATTTAAATCCTCTTTTTATTGAGTCACTTTATTTAATTAACGGATCAAAATCAGACTGATTTTACAAAACCAGACTCTGAATCAAAGACAGTTTACCCCCCCGTCATGCTAATCAAAGTGTGTGTGTGTTTGTGTGTGTGTGTGTGTGTGTGTGTGTGTGATGGATTATTGGCCTTGGCTGTCTCAAACTGAGGGTGAATACAGCCGACACAAACACACAGTAAACTTTTTAAAGCAGTGTAAACTTTGTGACTTTGTGGCAATCTGTGCTTCTGCCCTGAAGTCCAGTTTGTTTGACTCGTACGAGTGCTCTGATCTGTGCTCAAGCTCGGTACACTTCCTTGCACGGTACAGTTCATACACACGCACAAACACTGACTCACCTGCTGCTGTAGGTGAGTCAGTGAATCCCTGTCCACTTCCTGTCTGACTTTTAACCATACACCACCGCCCCACCCCCAAAAAACTGGAACTCTGTTTGAGATCACAACAGTTTGATGAAGTGGCTCTATGAACTGAAAACAGAACTGTATTACAACACACACACACACACACACACACACACACACACTCTGTTGTTCAGGGTGTAATTGGATGTTTTCAGGAGGACAGCTCATCGCTCATCTTTAAAGGCCCCTGCATTGTATTGCGCACACACACACACACACACACACACACACACACACACACACACTGCTGAGCTCAGTCTGTATCGATAAGTTGCTGATTGATTGAAGCAGTTGAAGTTGAGGTAATATGAGGCCGTGTGTGTTTGAACTTGTGATCAGTGTAACACACTGACCTGTAGGAGGCGCTGTGGTCATGAACTGTGCAAAACTACGACTACTTCATAAGTCAGGTGTGTTGCTCAACGTGTGTTTGGTGTTCATGCTGTCTGACGCACAAATCCCAACGTTGCTCTAGGCTGTCCCCCAGTCCCCCCTTCTTTCTCCAACACAACCTGTCATAGCCCTCAAATGTGTGTGTGTATGTGTTCGGGTGCAGTGACGGGTCTGGTGTGTGCACATAAACAGGAAACTGTGTTTGTGTGTCTGTGTGTGTTTCGGTGCGTGTGTGTGTGTGTGTGTGTGTGTGTGTGTGTGTGTGGTGTGTGTGTGTGTGTGTGTGTGTGTGTGTGTGTGTGTGTGTGTGTGTGTGTGTGTGTGTGTGTGTGTGTGTGCGTGCTCCCGCTGCCTCCTGCTGATTAATAAATAAAGGATAAATGTAAATAAATCATGAGAGAAAAGGTAAAAGTGCTGTAGCTGTAAATTTTTAACTCATTGAACTTGATGCATCTGAATATAAAAGTTGATAAAGAATCAGTTTTTTAATTTATCAGGATTAGAATAAATAAAGATGATTTAGATTGAAGTTTCACTGTTTAATCTGCAGCCTGCTGACGTTACACCTGAGCTGCGTAAGTGCTGATCAGGTGACCAGTTGAACTAATTAATTAAGGTCTGAAATTAATGCATTCATCTTTTTTAATCCTGATTGATCTC